AATTCAAACCACATACTGGATACACCTCTTTAAACAAAAAACAAAACAAAACAACAGCTTTACATTTTGAACACGTATGTAAAAATATTACATTGTGTACAGGTATGTAAAACATTACATAGTGTACTTGTATGATAAAAATACTATGTGTACTGGTGTGAAAAAACATTATATTGTGTACTTGTATGAAAAAAAATATTACATTGTGTACTGATTTTAGAAAATATTACTTTGTGTACTGGTATGAAAAAAACATTACATTGTGTACTGGTATAAAAAGATTACTTTGTGTGTACTGTTAAGAAAAAAACATTACAATTATGTACTGGCACGATCCCTTTTCTTTTATACATATTTGTTCTAACCATAATTCTTTGCCATTGTTTTTGGTAATCACAAATGTTGTATATATAATTTAGTGAACTTTTATTGTCTTTTAAGCTGTGATATAGGTGCCAAGCATTTATGTTGTTTTAACCATTTTGAATGGTTTGTGTTGTGCTATACCATAGGTAGTCTTTTTTCTTCTTTTTGAAAATGTTGATTGGTTTGTTATGGAATACCCAAAATGTTTTGAAAATTGGTATGTTGGTCAATATTTACTTTTGTCATATTTTAATTAGTATGCTATATAGTGATATATATGTAAAAGAATACTTTTGTTGTAGTCTCTAGAAACATAGTTTTTGTTTTTGAGTTATTCAAGTGATTATGAATGAAACATCTTTTGCTCATCTGAGCATAAATTCAGTTGAAATCTAAACAAATCATGGTCCCAGGGTCAAATGTTACTGGACCAAGATGTGACACTTGCAACTATTTCTGCATGGAAGAATTATGACCTTTGATTGCAATGGATTTCGGGTGAGCAATTTAGGGCAATGTGACATTTGTAAACAATTATATATAAATGGTATATTAAAATCACTGTGTTCATTGTAAAGAAATGTAATAAATTGATAAAGTAGATTTTATTTATCTTGTGTTAAATTGAAACTTAATATACTAAAAGCAATACTGTTGCATGTTTGCTCTTTATTAATCATTCTTTATAAAGAGATTTTGAATATTTTAAAAAACCTTAAAATGTTTGAATAAACAGTGATTGTTTGACAAGTTTTCTCTGTGTTTTTTTTTCCCTTTCCCCACCCCAGGGTCATTGGTTTTCCTTATATGTATATAGTAAAAAGTTATAGTAAAAACATAAAAAAAAATTCTTCTAGCAATTGACAAATGCTAGAGTTTAGATATTTTGCATGAAACATTGTGTAGTGAACCTCTAGCAAGATTGTTCAAATTATAGCCCTGGGTTCAAAATTGCCCCCGCCCCGGGAGTCATTGATTTTCAATATATACATATAGTAAAAAATCAAAAAATCTTATTGTCTGAAGGTACAAGGCTTAGAGCTTCAATATTTGTTAAATGATATCATCTATAGGTACTCTACCAAAGTTGTTCAAATTTTGCCTCTAGTGTCAAAATTAGCCCCGCCGCGGGGGCCATAGGTTTTCCTTATATGTATATAGTTAAAACTTAAAAAATCATCTTCTCTAAATTTACAAAGGCTAGAGTTAAGATATTTTGCATGAAACATTGTGTAGTGAACCTCTAGCAAGATTGTACAAATTATAGCCCTGAGGTCAAAATTGGCCCAACCCCAAGGGTCACTGATTTTCACTATGTACATATAGTAAAAAATTAAAAAATCTTCTTGTCTGAAGGTACAAGGCTTAGAGCTTTGATATTTGGTATATAATATCATCTATGGGTCTTCTACTAAAATTGTTTTAATTATGCCCCTAGTGTTAAAATTGCCCTGCCCCAGAGGCGATAGTTTTCCATATATGTAATAAAGTAAAAACTTGAAAAATTTCTTCTCTGAATTGACAAAGGCAAGAGGTTAAATATATGGCATGAGACTTTGCGAAGTGAACCTCTACCAAGATTGTTCAAATTATAGCCCTGGGGTCAAAATGAGTTCCGCCCCCGGGGGTCATTGATTTTCACTATGTACATATAATTTAGTAAAAAAATAAAAAATATTTTTGTCTGAAGGTACAAGGCATTATAAGAGCTTTGATGTTTGCTATATAATATCATCTATAGATCCTCTACCAAAGTTGTTCAAATTTTTCCCCTGGTGTTAAAATTGGCCCTGCCTGGGGGCAGTGATTCTCATTATGTACACATAGTAAAAACAGAAAATAGAACAAATGTTTTCTGAATGGGAGAAAGCTACACCTTAGATATTTGACTTGAAATGTTGTTTGGTGGACCTGTATCAAGATTGTTTTGAATTAAACCCTTGGGTCAAAATTTTGCCTTGCCCAAGGGGACAGTGACCTACTTTCTTGTCCTTTGATGTACAGCAATGAAATTTTGACCAATTGTGCACAGTTTTAGTTGTAAAATTGAACTTTGATATCAGGTGACCTAGATGTTGATGGTGTGACCTACTTTCTTGTCCTTTGATGTACAGCTATGAAATTTGAACCATGTGCACTGAGATTAAAATGTAAAGTGAACTTTGATATCAGCTGACCTAAATTTTGACAAAGTGTCTTACTGTGTTGTCCTTTGATGTACAGTCATGGAATTTTGGCCATGTGAAATATAACCTTCACCACCAAATTCACTAAACTCTACTGCATTGACAGATTCCTTCTCTGATCTTTTATTTGAATATCAATAGATTTAACCACTAATCTGATAATAAGAATTAGATAGGTCAGTGATCTATGCATTATGGCTATCTTCAATTGTATAGAAACAAAAAAATTCTGTTCCTACATTACTATTTAGTGTTGTATTACTGTGGTGGCATAGCATTTTTCACAAATGCAATCTTGTTTTTCTTTTGTCTTCATGTTTGTCTACAGATCAACCATCAATCTGGAGTCTAGCTTTGGCAGTGTTATTCAGGCTTTCTACTGGTCCCTACTTTTCCTACTTTTCCCTACTTTTTTCTTTTGATCCCTACTTTGCCCTACTTTTTTCTGAAGTAGCCCTATTATCCCTACTTTTTCATTTTGAAATGAAATGAAAAAAAAGAAGATATTTTAAATGGTATTTCAGTTGTATTTTCAGTTGCAATTGATGAGTAGTTAAGGTGTGTTAGTGTCTCCTTGTGATGTCCATCCTTGAAAGACTCATGGTCAGAGCTGCATTACTGGTACTGGTACTGCAGTATATACTGGAGCAATTTTGCAAGTACTGGTACTGATACTGAATTACTCTTACAAAATTTTGCTACTACTCAGGTACTGGTACTGCATTACTGTCTTAAAAAAGTGGTACTGCTACTGCATTACTAGGCAGTATTTTTGGTTTTGATAAAAATGTCATTATTTTTACTCATAAAGTAAAGCTGTAAATTCCATGTATTATTTTATTTTTGTGAAAAAGTAAGTTATCAAATCTATAAATAATTTGCTGCAATATTCCTTCAAATGTTAACATAGTATTCATCATAAAAAAGCACCAAAGACTTAAAGTAAAATTAAATTGAGATAAACAGAGTCAATAACTCTTTACTGGTAAAATATCCTTATTGCAATCTTATTACTTTGTATTTACTAGTAAAAAAAAGAGCAAAATAAACACTAATTAATTACTGCTATTCTAAATAATCATATTTCAAGTGATATTGTTAGCACCATAAAAAGTTATTTACTTGGTATAAATTGAACAGAGGTGTGGAGGTGTAAAAGGCAACAAAAAGACTGGTGGGTTTAAAATGTAAGATTATTGCATTGTATTACAGTTTACTGGTTACAAAACAATAACATATGACATGAATATATGATGATTATTGTTTGTAAAAAGTATGTTTGTTCATTTAAGTTGTAAAAATGTAATGTCAACTTTAAAGTAAATGATTTTATTCTTTGTTGAATAATGTTTGCAATTATTTTGAATGACACACTGTGTATTTATTCAAACTTTGATGAATATATAAAAGTATTAGTACTGGTACTTAATTACTTCCCCCAAAAAAGTACTGGTACTGCAGTACCAAGCTAAAATCAAGTACTAGTACTGGAAATGGTACTGCAAAACTTGGCAAGTACTGGTACTGGTACTTAAGTACTACACCCTTAGTACTGATGCAGCTCTGCTCATGGTGTCTTGGCAAAACATTCAGCAACATTCTGCCTATGAGGTGCCTGTCTTTCAAGCATGGACTGAACTGAAGATACACACAGCCTGATGTGGTCTTGGTGATGGTATGTTTTGCTAATTCTTAACTAAAATAGTAAGAAATTCCTACTTTATCCCTAGTTTTTAACATCAGAAATCCCTACTTTGCCCTACTTTTTGGTAAAAAAATGCCCTACTTTTTCCCTAGTTTTTTTGGTAGAGGCAGTAGAAAGCCTGTGTTATTGGGTTTTTGTCATGAGTTTATAGATCTGCTGACTATGTTAAACTTTATTTATGTCACCTGATTTTGTCATCTTAATCAAAAATTTTGTTTGTAAGTGATTAGAGTTCATTCAACGGCAGCAGCCATCTTAAAGTCAATGATCACTTGAGAGTTGTTTACCTCACCCTATGCACGTGCGCTCATTCCCATGCCTGTATAGGAAAATATTGCTGAGTTAAGCATTTAGGAAGCTGAAATTGTATACTGACTTAGATCCTGCCATGAACGTTTTTGCATGCCCTAAATTTTGTTACTATATTTAGTGACAAACATGTAGCCTATGTAGCCTAAGGTATAAATGCTTAACGCATTATGATTGATAAAATACTTTGAAAAATAGTGCTGAATAGCAAGACAGCTGAAATTGATCCTGCCATAAAGGGTTTTACATACCCTAAATTTTTTTACTATATTTAGTGACAAACATGTAGGTATAAATGCATAATGCATTGTGATTGATAAAATACTTTGTTTATTGTCAGTCTTTAAATAATAATATTTTGAGGAGGTTAGAAGAATACTTTTGACTATAGTCTATCTATCACATTCAGAAGAAACTATATTTTGTTCTTACAGCTCGTAAACCATCGGCTGGCTCCGAGAATGAGGATGAGGAGAACTTATACGAGTCATTGGATGATGTTGATGGATCTAAGAATGATGATGGTGCATACAAGTTTGGAAGTCTGAAAATCTTGGTGCAACAAGGTGACATCACAGCACAAAATACAGAATGTATAGTTAATAGCTCTAATGAAGCGCTTGATTTAAGTCGAGGTAAGCTTGACATTGATTGTTGTTTTATCAAATTCATTAAAAAAATATTAAACCTTCTTTCATTGGCTGAAAGTATATTTTATGTTTTCCAACATATTCAAACCAGACTTCTCAATGATGGTATTCGACTGGGATCTTTCTGCTCAAAATGATGTACATGTATCTTTAATTTATTTCAGGTAATGTCTCTCAGGCTATTTTGAAGAAAGGAGGCCAAACTTTAGAAAAGGAAGTGAATGACAAAAGTAAGTTAATACAAACATTCTGTAAGATATTGTGCAATTAAACTCAGTTTATAGACTCAGTGATTATTTAAAGGTATTGTATAATTAATGTGTACCTCCATGCAGTTTTATTGAATACAATAAAATGTTCATTTTCAAAGTACCCATTTCATGTTGAAAAACAGGTTTTTGTCAATGCTAAATTTGTTGAGTGCACCTTCTGTTTATTTTGAGAGCTGTTAATTCTGTTTATAAGCCAGCTTGGCTCAATATGGAAAGTTATGATCCCTTTATCCCTATGATATACCCCATCACATAAGTGTGGGTGATGGGTGGCTCAAAAGTTCATCTTAACTGGGCAATTTGCCAAATCCATGGCTCAAGGTCAAAGTCACACTTAATGTCAAATGTCAGACAATTTCATGTCAGCTTAGTTATAATATAAATTCTAAATCTCTTGAAGTATTTTCTTACTGGTCTCAAATATTCATCTTAAGATACAAGGTAAAGGTCAGCATTAAAGGTCAAATGTCAGACGATTTCACGTCTGCTTTTAAAAATCTGTAAAAGGGCTAGTAATTTTTATATAGACAGTGGATCCCCAATAGTGAAAGATCTGAGATAAGCATCGTATACGTCACTGATAAGAGATCTGTTCTAAAAATAGCCGCAAGATAACTTTCGGACAAGGAAACTGGTTAATCTACATGTAGATTATACAACATGTAATAGTTAAGAATACTTTTATTCACATTTCTCTCAATGGTAATGATGTTCCTAAAGCATGATTGAGATGGTTTAAAACCATCAGGAAAATAAAGATGATATGGTGAAAAAGAAATAACTTTCGGGGCAATACTTTCCCCTGCATGTCAATATTGAGAAAAATGCCGGCGCTTGGCAATTTGTTTTTGTTTCACTGTTTATCAAAATTAGAAATGGTGATATGATATGGTATGAAATTGGGACTAAAAATGAAAGAGTATCTTTCTGTCCCAGGTATACCGCACAAAATTTTGTTTCTATGTAAAATACGCAGATTGGAGAAGTCATGAATCTATCCACCAAAGTGCTACGAGTATTAGATTAATGATTAATATCTTAATTCTTTAATAATTTTAGAATAAGCAAAACTCTGCATTTTTCCTATTTTACCTAATAAAAAATGCCGATTCTAGTACAGGGATTTTATCAGAAATAATGTATACGTACATGCATGCTTGCATGTATATGACAATTGAGGTCCGTGATTTACAATACACTATTTATGTATAGACAATAAAATACATTTGTTTTTTATTTTATGTCTCACACAAAATATTTGTTGTTAAAATCATCGCCAATTACTGGTGCATTTTTTAAACTTTATCTTATTGACAAGGTGTAAAGATGTATATAGAGGCCAGAGCAGATTGTGACACACGTTTAAATTTAACTTTAAAAAAGTAAAGTGTGTAGTTGTCTCTTATCTTTTCACACTAAATTCCATTTCCAACTTGTTTGTATTCTACAATTTCTTGAAATATTGCATGTAAGCACAGTAAATATACGCTGATTAACATCATGTATAATGTGTTCTCCCTAATCCCTAAAGTCAGTACAGGTGATGTAGTGGTGATTAGGTAAAATCTATTTTTAGAACAGTGTTACCTTCAGATCGAAGGCTATTGGTCACCTGACTCTGACTGGTCACGAATTGACCAGTCACAATATCAGACTGGTGACCAATCAAAAGGGTCCGACAACTGATCAACAGCCGATGAGTAATTATAAATGTCAATTGGCCACTATCATATTAAAGCAACCAATGACAAGTTGTCGGCAATCTATTGATCACAGAAAAAGTCCACTCTATAAATCCTATACCCTTCAATCATGGCTCAGATGTTCACCGCAACAAGTTGATGTGTCGAACCCAGGCCTTTGATTATCTTGGTTAACCTTGGGATATTGAGTAATAGGCCTTTGATTATCTTAATAAACCTTGGGATATTGAGAAATAGGCCTTTGATTATCTGGTTAACCTTGGGATATTGAGTAATAGGCCTTTGATTATCTGGTTAACCTTGGGATATTGAGTAATAGGCCTTAGATTATCTGGTTAACCTTGGGATATTAAGAAATAGGCCTTTGATTATCTAGTTAACCTTAGGATATTGAGAAATAGGCCTTTAATTATCTGGTTAACCTTGGGATATTAAGAAATGAGCCTTTAATTATCTTGGTTAACTTTGGGATATTGAGTAATAGGCCTTGATTATCTTGATAAACCTTGGTCATGGTGTAATTAGGCGGTTTTGCCTATGATTGTTTCCATCTTGAGTGAAAGGCCAATAATCTAATGATCTGTCCTGTCATATAAGTTTATTATTTAGTTGTACTCATATTAAAATGATTTTGAGGTATGTAACACAAAGAAGCTTCAATCAGAAGATTTGTATCATGCAGCCGTGTTTATCAGTTCAACAATTTGCTTGTTTTTTAGCTCACCAGAGCCGAAGGCTCAGGGTGAGCTATTAGTATCAAAGGGGGATGCTCCGGCGTCCGTCGTCAATCGTCATGCGTCAACAATCATCTTCTTCTCTGAAACTACTGGGCAGATTTACTTCAAATTTGGTCTGTAGCATCCTTGTGACAGTCACACTTGAATTTGCTCATGTCATTCCAATTGGCCCCTTTTAGGAGTCAGCAGAGCTAAAAATAGAAAAACCTTTAAACATCTTCTACAGAACTAATGGATGGATGATCACCAAACTTTGTCTGTAGCATTCTTGGGTAGTGTTTTATCAAGTTTGCTCATATTAATTTGATTGGCCCCTTTTAGGGGCCGCTAAAGCTAAAATTAGAAATACTTTTAAACGTCTATTTTCACAGAACTAATTGATGGATGATCACCAAACTTTGTCTGTAGCAATGTTGGGTAGTCTTTTATCAAGTTTGCATATATTAATTTGATTGGCCCCTTTTAGGGGTCGCTAAAGCTAAAAATAGAAAAACCTTTAAACATCTCCTACTTCAGAACCAATTGATAGATGATCACCAATTTTTGTCAGTAGCATTCTTGGGTAGTCTTTTATCAAGTATGCTCATACTAATTTGATTGGCACCCCTTTTAGAGACCACTAAAGCTAAAATTAGAAAAACCTATGAGCATTATTTCCTACTGAAAAAATTGATAGATGATCAACAAAATAAGTCTGTAACCTTCTTAGGTAGTCGTTTATCAAGTTTGCTCATATTAATTTGATTAGCCCTGTTTAAGCTAAAGCTTTAATGCCCCAGGTCATGGCATTTCTTCAAATTATTGTTTAAACATATTCTATGCTCAAATTTAGTAAGAATATATTGACATTCCAACACTGAAAAGCAGTTGTTTCAGGTGAGTGACTCAGGGCCATCATGGCCCTCTTGTTTGTTATTTTATTATTTAAGGTGCATAAATGTTGTATTCAAATAAAAATGAATGCTTATAATTTAGGAAAGAAAATGAAAAAGGAACATCTTGTTGTAACATCAGCACCTGGAATGAGTTGTCAGAAGATCATACATGTTGTTGCTAAGGAAACAGCACAAGAGTGGCAAGACATCATAGAAAAATGCCTTTTTAAGGCTGATAAGGAACACATGAAAGATATTGCTTTCCCTGCCCTAGGAACAGGTTACATACTTGATTTTTATCAGTTGAACTGAAAAGGTTCACACAAGATATTCTTTCTCATATGTATTGTTATATTTATTTTAGATATGTTACAGTGTTGGGGTAAAAATTTGAAACGGAGGAGTTGGTTTTGGGCTGCATCAACATTGTAAAGGTCATTTGATGACATTTAAACTTTACTGGTGTAGGAAGACCTCAAGTGCCACTCCCTGCAGTATTTCAGACTCAAACTGGCACCTGAGTAGAGCCATACATGTTCCGTAAACTGGCTGGATAGCTTCTTCACATGACCCTTTCATAATGTAGATCACAAAGAAAACTTGGTACTCATTTAGTACAGTCGACTCTCGTTATCTCAAAGTCATCGGCACCGTCCAAAAAATATCGAGATAACTTTAATGTCGTGATAAACGTATAAGGTTTGAACAAGGCAGTAACTGATTTAATTACAAACGCTGCTGATGTGCATACCTTAAGTCAAATAAATTAAAAGTATGATATCTCCATGTCTTGTTCTCTTGTGCCTAATATTCCAAAGTTGATATTTAACAAAGTTAAATTAGGGGATGTTTACCAGCGGAAATACAGGAGTCTGTGATTAAAGCACATAGTGAGGTTTACTCAGTAATACACCACTATAGTGAAAACTTTTTTAGCGTGGTCGATCCAGATATCCTCCCGGGTTGGTTATCGGACCATTCTCGAGATAGTTCTACAGTGTTCAAATATTTTATAAATAGCGGAAGATTCACTCATTTTGAACATAAGTCAATCAATACATTAATAGGTAAACTTTTATAAACAAAGCTTGACTTGTTACAAACAGAGTCATCATTATGGCACATGCTATTTAGTGATTATCGTCTGGTTTGTGTTTTTCACACCTCTGCAGGGGAGAGAGAACAACTATTAGTTGAGATAAAGAAAGGAATTAATAGCGTGAAAATTACTGTCGGGGCCGAAATTTTACTTTGAGATACTGAAAATATCGAAATAAAAATATCGAGATAAACAAATATTTCCAATATATGTAGATAAAGAAGGAAGAAAATCAGGACTTTCAAAATGTAATTGAGATAACGAAATATCGAGAAAAGCGATGTCGAGATAATGATAGTTGACTGTAACTACTTTCTTCTTTGATGAGATACGGAAAAACATAGAGATGAATAAAAAATTAAAACTTGCACAAGCAATACTGTTTTTTCTTTCAATTTCTCATTATTATAAGGCCTTGTTTGTTAAGACACCTTTCAAACTGGAGATTATGAGTATGTTTAAGCCCTACTTGGGCAATAAAAATATTGTCTTTGATGACATTAATATTGGTTAGTTTCAGGAACTTGATTGGAAAATAATTGCTACTAGTTTTTTCACTCCTGTGGCATGAAGAATTCTTTTTACATGAAGAAGCTTTCCAGTTAGATAACAGAAATGTATATAATGCATGTAAATGTGTCATTGACTTCAAACCACTTGGCATTCACTCCTTTGGGTTTGGGTTTTTATCCTGCAGGGAACTTTGTTTACTTTCATGTGATGAAGCTATCCAGTTAGCTTAAGGAAAATTGGTAGTTCTACTTAGGTGACTGCTTGTGCCTGAAATAATGTATGGAGGGGCACCTGAGGGTTTTCTCCACCAGCAAAGCTAAAATTCTTAGTAATGTAAAACCTAACAGCAACAAAAGATGTGTATTCATAAATGTTTTGACAATTTGTGATTGAAATGATTTCAAAATGTTCTAGTTTGGGTTTCCATGTTGCAGATGAAATTACAGTGAATTTATTGCTTAACAAAAACAAGTATTTAAAATAGCTCAGTTTGGTTAAAAATGGATATAAATTAAGAAAGGCTAACTTTTAAATAAGATTGATATATTGATTCAGTTAATTATTTATTTCATGATTTATTTCAGGAATCCAGATGGATGCATCAATTATAGCCACAACAATGGCCAAAGCAATAATGAACTTTGCTAAAACTGATCCTAAACACTTACAAGAGGTCAGATTGGTGATATTTCAGAAACAAATGGTGGAAGATTTTGATAAAGCTATATCAAAGGCAGGCAAACCTAATGAAGGTTGGGGTGGCAAACTCGTAAGAAGTGTAAAAGGTATGTACGACAGATTATTAAACTAACATTCAATGCTTTTTTAGCTTAATAGGAAGAGAATGGAATTTGTAATCCTGGGGTCACTAGTTGATCCTTGGAAAAGGCAAAATTTCTCTGTAACTGTTAATTCTAGACATCAAGTCTAATAGTCATTTGTCTGTCACTGGTCGTTAAGAAATCATATGGGTCAATTGCGGAGAAATTGGTTGTTACTGGTAAATAATCAAGAATAGCCTACTAGATGGACTGATGAAATATGGGTTAAAATCAGCTTGAAATAAAAAAATAAAAATACAAAATTAGACTGATTGTCCGACATTAAAATGGATATTTAAAAAACAAAAATGGAGTCATAGCTCTAATTTTGAAACTACATTTGTATTAGGTTAAAACTTGCCTGTCTTCACTAGCAATAATCTTATTTTTAAAGACTGGTTTGGTGGTGGGGAACAAGAACAGACCAGCAGACAACAGACCAAGAAGAAACCTGCCAAGAACAAAGATGCTAATAAAGTTACATTTATCATTCTGGCAATGTCTGAGAATATCATTGAACAAGCTATATCAAAGTTGGAAAGTTGTCTAGATAAGGAAATAACATCTAGCAATTTTAATGATAGTATCATAAAGAATATGAATGATCAACAGGTAAGGACACTTGTCATATATCTACATATTCTAATACTTTAATTATGCATGAAAAAAGTTTTGAAGTGGCAACCATGGCCAAGTGGTTAAGGCTGAGCCAACTTCTAATCGCTTGCCCCTTCATGGCTGTGGCTTCAAATCTGGACAGAGACTTTAGATACTTTAATGTGTGGAAACTAAAACTATCCAGTTGGCTTAGGATGGTTCTTCTTTATACCTACAATAATGCACAGAAGGGCAACCGAGGTCTTCCTCCACCAGTTAAGCTGGAAAGTTGCCATACAATCTATACTGTGTTGGTGTCACATAAAACTTAACAAAAAAGAAAAACATTTTGTCCTAATAATATTATGTTATGTACATGGTCATGTGTCCATCTGCTTGCAATTTTGTGTCAACTTTTAAACCAGTGTAATAAAATTGAAACTTCTTGGAAGAAGTGTTAATCATAATGAGACAATATGCAAGTGACCAAGTTAAGAATGGGGTAAGGTATTAGTCAGTATGTATAAATTTCAAAATTTTGTGTATGCACTGTATCTTACGAACAGCTTAAATTGAGGTCAAAAAGCCTTAAATGAAAATTGAAATTCTTGCACAGATCATGTGAAGCACTTCAAAGATAACTCTATAAAGGGTAACAAAGGAAATTGCCTAGAATTACATAGAGGATATTTGTTTAGTTCAGTGTAAGATCGGAATATATTTCACCGAGTGAGCACCAAAAGGAATATTTCAAGAGTGGCGCAGCCACAAATGAAATATGAACTTTTGGTGTTCACAAGGTGAAATGTATTTCAATTTTACACTAAACTAAACAAATTTTCTTTTTATTACATGCAAAGAAACGTTTTAAAAAGACATTTAACCTAGTACTGAATGAAAAGCGCGCCAAATAATACAACGTGACCTCATTTACGATGTCACGTCATTAAGTTGGTACCCAGTACTGTGCACCCTGGTATTTCACTGAAACAACGTAAGGGGCTTAATTAAATTCAAAACAGTGAAATTATCAAAGTGGTTATTTCACTGTTTCAAACAGTGAAATTACCAGTTTTATATCACTGATATATTTCTATAAACCACCGAAAAGCATGTAATAAATTGTTCAAATATCTATTTTGTGCAATTAGTCTGATTTCACCTTATTATAATGTTATTTCTACCAGACTATGGAAATATAAAGTGTATAATCATATTTCTACCATCAGATTATGGAAATAAAAAATGTTGCAACGAAACATCATCTGGACATAAAGGTGGAGTCCTCTAAAGGAATCATACAAATATCAGGAATTTCTGCAAATGTCAGTAAAGCTGCGGATAATATACATAGGTATATTAATTTTATAACTAGAGGATAGTATACTTTATTGCATGACATCATCGGAAATATTAACTTGTATTATTATCACAAAACATGTGGCAGTCAACATAGATGTTGAGTTTGTTAACTTCAACCATCACAGGATATAGTGCTTATAGCATGTAGTTTTAGCCATTTTGAAGTCCTCATTCTGGAGGCAGGAGCCAAGGAACTACACTATATATTCTTTATTGCTCTTATTATAACACCACAGACAAAGTTTAGGGGAGTATGAAGCAGTCAGTTTGTTGATCAGTCAGTCTGTTATTTGGTCCACTTTATGGTTTCCAGATGATAACTAGAGTCCAGAATGAGTTATAGTAAACAAACTTGGTATAAAGCAACCATATATGAAATGGCTTTTGAATCCCCTGGGGTCAAGGTCACTGTAACTTAAAAATTTTTTAATAATGTTTCCAAAAATTTATATTTTTAGCTCCCCTGACCACGAAGTGGTCGAGGTGAGGTAAAGTGATGGGGCTATATTCGGCATCCCTCGTTTGGGTTTTTAACACTAGCAGTCACAGTTTTGATTGGATCATAATCAAACTTCGTCAGGTCAAGTTCAAATATGGGTCATCTTGGTCACAAACTAGGTCCCAGGAGCTAAAAATGGAAAAATCTTGTTAATACTGCAGTTTTTATCCAAGTGTCTTGGAAAAAGGTTGTTTTGATGATTTCAAGGTAAAGAAAGGATATGGGTCATCTCCGGTCAAAAACTGGGTCACAGGAGCTAAAAATAGAAAAATCTTGTTAATACTTAAGTGGCTAAAGTTTTGATCCAAATATTCTTGAAATTGGTCATGAAGGTTGTTTTGATGATTTCTAGGTCAAGATCGAATATGGGTCATCTCTGGAGAAAAACTAGGTCCCAGGAGCTAAAAATAGAAATATTTTGTTTACTCCAGTGGCTGCAGTTTTGATCCAAATATCCTGGAAATTGATGATGAAGGTTGTTTTGATGATATTTAGGTGAAGTTAGAATATGGGTCATTTCTGGTCAAAAACTAGGTCACAAGAGCTAGTGGCTACAGTTTTGATCCAAATATTCTTGAAATAGGTCATGAAGGTTGTTTTGATAATTTCAAGGTCAAGTTTGAATATGGGTCACCTAGGGTCAAAAACTATGTCACACCGGCCAAATATGGAAAAACCTTGTTAACATCTTAATGGTGACATTTTTGACTCAATTATCATCAAACTTGGTCAGGATGTTTGTCTAGTTTTTGCTTAAAGGTGTTCGAACATGGGTCATCGCTGATGAAAAACTAGGTTACAGAAGCTAAAAATAGAAAAATCTTGTTAACTCTCTAATGGTTATTGTTATTATTCAAATTTCCTTGAAATTGATCTGAAAGTTGTTTTCCTGATTTTTAGGTTAAGTTCGAATATGGGTCACCTGGGGTCAAAAACTAGGTCACACTGCCCAAATATAGAAAACCTTGTTAACACTCTAAGGGTCACATTTTTGACTCAATTGTCATCAAACTTGGTCAGGATGCTTGTCTAAGTAATTGCTCAGATGAGTTTGATGGGTCAGGTGAGTGATCTAGGGCCATCTTGGCCCTCTTGTTTATAGTTCACTGAAAAGAATTAAAAAATTAATCGTAATTTTTCAACAGACATCCTTCATAATTATAATTATTTGACAGGATTTTGCGACACGCTGTAACTGTCGAACAAGAAAGGAAAACAGCGGATTTGATGATTAACCTAGTCCAGTGGAGTTACATTGAAAATGAGGACACTGGACAGACTTTGAAACCATATGATAAAGAGCTGAATTACAAGATAGAGTCTGCTTACCTTTCAAAAGCTGATTGCGTTAAATTCAGGTAGATATTTTCTAGATCGTTTAAGCTGGTTTATTTGCCCTGTGTGATTAAGCTTTAAGGCTGTAGGGGGTAGTTTTATGTCTTTCATTTGAGGAAAATATCTAGCTATTTTGGGAAGGTTGAAGATGTGACTGTGTCTAAAATAATATACTATGCAACAATAGTCTTGGATATTTTTTAGAAACATAAAGCATTTATTGGTAGACATAATAAGAAATTATTAGGTACAATTTTTAACCAGGTTTTCAACGAAAACCGGGTTATTGTAATGCCGAAATTGTCGGGTGGGCGGGCGGACGGGCGTCAACTTTTGGTTTCCGGTCAATAACTTGAGTTTGCTTTGGCCTATTGACATTAAACTTGGTGTGTAGGTAGCTTATATCAAGAGACAGATTGGGATTGATCAAGGTCAAGGTCACTGTTACTAAAAATAGTAATTCAGTGTCCGCTCAATAACTTGAGTTTGCTTTGGCCTATTGACACCAAACTTGGTGTATGGATAGCTTATATCAAGAGGCAGCTTGGGATTGCTATCCAGGTGTCTGTGATCAAGGTCAAGGTCACTGTTACTAAAAATAGAAATTCAGTTTCCGCTCAATAACTTGACTTTGCTTTGGCCTATTGACACCAAACTTGATGAATGGGAAGCTTATATCAAGAGGCAGCTTGGGATTGCTACCCATGTGTCTGTGATCAAGGTTAATGTATTTAGTTTTCATGTTATAACTTGAGTTTGCTTTGACCTTTCACCAAACTTGCTGAGTGGCAGCTTTGGATTGCCACTTAGATATCTGGGAGCAAGTTCAAGGTCATTTGCTTACAATAGAATTTTCAGCTTCTACTCAATAACTTCTGTGCACTTTGACCTATTGATTGCTGTCACATCAAAACTTGGTTGTTGAAAACCTGGTTTTCGTCGCATTGCGGTGCTTTTTGATTAATATTTTATCATAAAATACTTTTTGAAAATGTGATTAGTAAATCATAATTTGAAACAGATAAATAATTTGAGAAAATAATCTTCTCCTTTTAAAGTTACCAAGAACTTAAGCTCAGAATAAATTATGTAGCATCACATTTAACCCCCGCCATTCAGGTCATTTCTTTCAAGGATGTTATTAAAATATCAACTGACCGTACAAAGCTTATAGGTAAGATGCTATTTGGCTCGATAAGTTGCCTTGTGGCCCTTGACAAATGTAAATGATGCCTTTTGATAATAAATGGCCCACCTTAGGGGTCACTTATTACATAGACTCTGTTAAACATTCAGGCCAAGAATTTCTTCAATATGAGGCATATGGGTTGTTTTTAGGGTCTGTAAAATGTTACTGCATTGACCTTAGACTCCTATAAAGAAAAGAAACTTTTTATTAAGAATCTTCTCAAATCAATATGAAGTGATGTCTACATGTCTTTGTTTAAATCCTAACAGGTTAATAATTAATTTATTCAAATAAGCAGCGGAGGCCTACTTATTATGCTGATCCCTTTTATTATCTGCTACAGATAAAGATTAAAATTGTCTGAGATCAAAATATAAAAACCTTTTAAAGACTTCTTCAAATGTAACAAAGGATTGATCATTATCAAAATAATGTGCAACTTCTGAAATTCAAATACTTGTGGGAAGAAATGGCAATGTGAGTAACTGGATAAACGGCATGCAATGAGCAACCGGATAATCAAGTACTCAATGAAATATCTGATTGTTGATACTCAAGTACTCAGTGTAAAAAAGAAACACCTCATTTTTCTGTTGTAAATATTATTATAATGAAATATAAGAATATTATAGTGAAATGTAATTATTTAGAATTTCTAAAATATAATGTCCTCTATTATAAGAAACATTTAGATTATTTGGATTTAATCATTGTGCAAGAGGTGTGGAAAATGTTTTCCCAAATTCATAATGGTAATTGCTTTAATGAGGCGAACAATTTTTAGCTCACCTGTCACAAAGTGACAGAGTGAGCTTTTGTGATCGCTTTTCGTCCGGCGTCCGTCCGGCGTCCGTAAACTCTTACTTTAAATGACATCTCCTCATAAACAGCTGAGCCAATTTCATCCAAACTTCACATGAATTCCTTTGGTGGTCACCTTTAAAAATTGTTCAAAGAATTTAATTCCATGCAGAACTCTGGTTGCCATGGCAACCGATAGAAAAAACTTAAAATATCTTCTTTTAAAAAACCCAATGAGGTAGAGCTTAGATATTTGTTCAAATAAAAGCCCTGGGGTCAAAATTGGCCCCGCCCCGGGGGTCATTGATTTTCACTATATGCATATAGTAAAAACTTAAAAAATCTTCTTTTAAAGAACCAAAAGAGCTAGGGCTAAGATATTTAGCATGAAACATCTTGTAATGGGTGTCTACCAAGTTTGTTTAAATAAAAGCCCTGGGGTCAAAATTGGCCCCGCCCCGTGGGTCATTGATTTTCCTTATATGTGTAAATTAGTAAAAACTTTTTAAAAAATCTTCTTTGAAAAACCCAAATCACTAGAGTTTAGATACTAAGCATGAAACATCTTCTAATGAGTGTCTATCAAGTTTGTTCAAATAAAAGCCCTGGGGTCAAAATTGGCCCCGCCCCAAGGGGTCATTGATTTTCCCTATATGCATATATAGTAAAAACTTATAAAATCTTCTTTTAAAGAACCCAAAGAGCTAGAGCTAAGATATTTAGCATGAAACATCTTCTAATGAGTGTCTACCAAATTTGTTCAAATAAGAGCCCTTGGGTCGAAATTGGCCCTGCCCCGTGGGTCATTGATTTTCCTTATATGTGTAAATTAGTAAAAACTTTTTAAAAAATCTTCTTTGAAAAACTCAAATCACTAGAGTTTCGATACTAAGCATGAAACATCTTCTAGTGACTGTCTACAAAGTTTGTTCAAATAAAAGCCTTTGGGTCAAAATTGGCCCCGCCCCGGGGGTCATTGATTTTTATTTATGTGTATAGCAAAAACTTCTTTGAAAAAAAACCAAATAGCTAGAGTTTAGATATTAAGCAAGAAACATCTTCTAGTGAGTGTCTTCAAAGTTGTTCAAATAAAAGCCCTTGGGTCAAAACTGGCCCAGCCCGGGGGGTGTCATTGCTTTTAACTATGTGTGTATAGTTAAAACTTAAAAAATCTTCTTTTTTTTTAAAAACTCAACGAGCTAGACCTTAGATGTTTAGCATGAAACATCTTCTAATGGGTGTCTACAAAGTTTGTTCAAATAAAAGTCCTTGGGTTTAAACTGGCCCCACTCTGGTGAGCGACTTCAGGGCCATTATGGCCCTCTTGTTTTAGGTACAAATAGTATATGCAATAAACAACAATTATGGTGTGTATATCATTTTTGGATTCTTATTACATTACATCACTAGTGTCATTACAAAATTTGTTGTGAGGTACTTGAAAACTGCTTTAAAGAGTTCATAGCTTCCAATAGTATTAGATTTGATCTATAATTTAGACCCTTGAATCAAAATTATTGTTTTAATTTCCAAGGTACATAATCCTTGCATTTCCAGTAGTAGTCAATTTTATGTATCAAAATAGAAAACGAAATTTTTTAAAGAGGTTTGTTGACAGTTTCATTCTTCTTTCCTCCTCTTGAGAGATTTATCTGACATACATGTAGGAAATAGGTTGATTATGGTTGCACATAAGTTTTTTGAAAGTCCAAAGATATCTTCCAAGTAACGTCATACTTGATATCAGAAGAAAAACTGAAATGTTGAAATCGGTACTTGTTGCCATCGCTGTCGAAAGGTTTGGGTTTTGGAAGTTTTCATAATATTTTTACCATTTTTAATTGTAGGGCAGATAAAATTAACTATGTTCTCGACTTTTCAAAAATGGAGGAATATCCTGAAGATGACCAAAATGATACTGTAACTGTGATACGCAGGGATCTCGTGAAACGTGAGTAAATACTGCTTCAGACTTAATGCATCATTATTTGAAATTTATTTATCATACAGACATGATAGTCAAACATTTGAAGGTATATAAATAAATTTTTATTATATACTTATAAATGAAATTTTGAGAAATAATGTTTATTTTCATTTACCATTTTTTCACTGTAAAAATTTTATTTTTCACAGCAGTGAAACATATTTTCTGTATTTTCACTGGTGTCCTGCCGGACTACTTTCTTCTTAATACAGTCTATACACAGACTTCAGAGTTATAAGGTCAAAAAGAGAAAAAGTATATAATAGAAAATTCAAGTTTTTTCTTTAAATACAGGATTCATTCATCGTATGATATGAAATATATTTAAGTAATATTTGGTTATTAATTTACATGCAGCCAGACCTGTATAGTAGACCACTGGCAATGAAAATCTGAAAACCAGCAAATTTGCTGTTGGAATACTGAATGACAAAATATATATTTTCAGTTCAGATAAACATTTATACACTTAATTATAATTGTTGGTGATAGTAAAAATAGTACTTAATGTTTAAATCAATTTATTACATACTTAAATTAAAATTTAATACACTCTATTTAGTGTCTTAGTTAAAGAAATTTGTTGCATTGTGATTTCAAATGATTTTTAAAAATCAATTTTCATATGCATGTGTTGTATTAAATGGCAGCTTTTCAGGTATTTTTTTTTATAAACATTGATAGTTTGTTCAAAAGTTTCATATGCCATTTGAAAAAAAAAGATCCTGGTGGGCATGTGGTGTCCAGTTTTTGGAGTTTATGCACAGGGGGGATATAATCATTACTTTATATAAATGGTCACCCCCTTGAGATATAGTTTTGGCCACATGATCTAGGTCTCAAGGTTAAAGGTCTGACTAGGTCACACTTAGATGTCAGAGGTAAACATTTGTCTGGAGCAACATTTCTACTTGCATTGAAGGATTTTAATTTACATGTAATTAGTCACAGATGTAAATCATTGTAAGGTTGATTGCCGCACAATGATACAATGGTAATTTTGATTTACCCAAAATTAAGGTACCTGTCACATGTAAAGCTCAAAGGTTAAATTATAATATGAAAGTGTGTTTATGAACAATTTAAATTTACGGGTTAATTACCACAAATGTTCACAATCCTTAGACTGAGTGTAGGTCAATATATGCAAGGTCAAGGTCACCAAAGATGATGAAATATCCATACTTTGTCAGGAGGATCTTCTGCATGCAAGCATAGATTATACAGATATTAATTTCCATGAGACATGTCATGCACCTTTGTCAAAGGTCAAAGTCACACTTAAAGGTCAGAAGAGCACTTGTCTGGAGCAAAATTTAAACATGCAATGAGAGATTTAAATCAAACTTGGCACAATGTTTACCATTTTCAGGTGAAATATGGCACACAAAATTCAAGTTTCTGTTGCCAAGGTTAAGGTCACAAGCTGAATTCAAAATATTGTCAGATCAAAATTTAAAAATGTGTGTACAGACAATTTTGTAGTCTTTAATTTAAAGATAACATCACAAATGTTTGCAAAATTAGGGTCTAAATTAGGGTCTTTGTGGTACCATTCAGAGGTCAAAGGTAAAAAATATAGATGTCCGTCCTTCATGCTGTTTGTTCATAGACTGCAGTTTGTGATTTGTCTGTAATTTATAAAAAGCAATAAAACTTTCTAAGAATAGTTCTCGGCATGTGGACTTGCATTTAAAAGGTCACGGGGTTCATAATAATTGAATGAAATTAAATTGCCATGAATTACCTAAATCATAAGACAAATGTACTTCCATCTGAAGCATGATAACTTCTTATGTAAATGCAACTTCATGAATTTTACCAATCACAGGATCAAAGGTCAAGGTCACAGTGGCCTCAAATAATCACATATTTATTGCGGTTTTAAAGCAGAAGTCTTTGCATGAACAACTTTCAATTTTCATGGATGTAGGTCAATTCACGCGATCCTTTGGTGCCAAGGCCTTCATATATGACATATAGCATGTTTACTTGAGATATTCATATTGCTAAATAAACATTTTGAGATGATGAGAAACTTTTATAAAATGCTATATTTTATAATCATAATATTTGCTAATAAACTCCTAGAATAGTTAAAAGACAGCACTTTTATGGAATGACATACATTTTTGTGATCAAACAAGTGTATTATGATGTTGTTAAATTGTTACAGAGGGCGCATTTGAAGCACCAGCACTTTGGGCAGATATGACTGGAAATCTAAGAGTTGTTGTTTTACAGCCGACATGTCCAGAGTATACTGATATTGCACAAAAGTTCACTACTTCTTCTGGTGGCACTTTTACAGTTGTCAAGGTATGTATATGCAGTAACATAAATATGTTTACAATGACTTCACCACTTTTTCATGCATTTAACATCTGAATAGGGCACCTATTTCTATGAAGCTCTAGAAATATTGTCCATATCACAGTGCATGGATTTCTGTAGTTATGTATGCACAAATAGTGCAAAAGACTATTCTCAAAAGATTCCTTCAAGACTATTAGAGCAACTCCCTAAATTAAACCACTTCCTGTCTTACCTGACCTTATTTCAGTCTGCCAAACATATTTCCTTTATAAATGGACTTAACTAAAATACCGGTACATGTACTCCTTTCACACCAAGGCAGCAGTGGCCAACTCAACAAGCAGGCACCTGACCGGAGTGGCTTAACATTTGTTAGTTAGGCATTTCTTATTTAAATGAAAAAAGAGATATTTTACAAGCTATCCTAGATGTCTGTCCTCATGTACTGCTTTGTCTGTTTTCAACATATTCATTTGTCTGTTTATCAGAAACGAAAACAAAGCAATTAAAACCTTGGTGTAATAATTCAGTCCAATTATTGTCTAGAACTCCCCCTGTCGCCCCAATAACACATGTCATAATATAAACAGGTATCCTTTTAATATAGTATCTTCTACAAGGAGTATCTATTACCAACTATGGTAAACATGATACAAAGTCTGTTTAATTGCTGATTAAAAGTGACAGGTAATGTAATGTACATAATGACCTGATAAACTTGTTTCCAAAAGTAGTCTGAGTACTTTAGAGATGAAACTTTATGCTTGTTTTTTTTCTTTTTTCTTTCTATGACTAAATGAATTCAAGGAAAAATATCTTATATCTCTCATTTACAGAGAAAAAACATAGGATATGATAGTTTGAATGAAAGAATATTTAAGTTAAATCATTTGGGATTCATTATTATTACACTGCAACCCCGTTATAACGTGCCCTGTTATAATGCTAACTTCAGTAATAAACTCAAAAGCCTTGACTCCCAAACAAGATTTTTGGCTGATTATACTTTTTTGTTTCGCCTTGAAAAGGCGACATATAGGGGTTACTTTTGTCGGCGGCGTCGGCGGCATTGTCAGCGTCCCCTAAAGCTTGTCCGGAGCATAACTCAGTCACTTTAAGTCGGATTGACTTCAAACTTGGTATGCATGCTTCTTTCAATAACCTGAAGTGCAATGCACAAGGACCGGTACTCTGCACTTCTTAATTTTTGAGTTATTGCCCTTTGTAAATTTTCATACTTTAATTTTGTCCAGGCCATTTCTCTTCAACTATAAAAGCTATGGACTTGAAACTTCATAGGATGATAGATCTTGTTAAGAAGAGGTGCAGTGCACAAGAACCGGTACTCTGCATTTCTTATTTTTTGAGTTTAGCCCTTTGTTAATTTTCATACTTTATTTTTGTCCGGGCTATTTCTCCAAAAGTATAAAAGCTATAAACTTGAAACTTTGTCGGATGATAGATATCATAAAAATTAAGTGCAGTGCACGAGAACTGGTACTCTGCATTTCTTATTTTTTGAGTTATTGCCCTTTGTTAATTTTCATACTTTATTTTTGTCCAGGTCATTTCTCCTCAAGTATGAAAGCTATGGACATGAAACTTCATAGGATGATAGATCTTATTAAGAAAAAGTGCATTGTACAAGAAATGGTACTCTGCATTTCATATTTTTGAGTTATTACCCTTTATTAATTTTCATACTTTATTTTTGTCCAGGCCATTTCTCATAAATTATAAAAGCTATGGACTCGAAACTTTATAGAATGATAGATCTTATTGATAAGAAGTGCAGTGCACAGAAACTTCTGCTCTATACTTCTTATTTTTTTAGCTCGACTATTCGAAGAATATGAGAGCTATTGTAGTCGCCCCGGCGTCGGCGTCCGCGTCGGCGTCTGCGTTGGTTAAAGTTTTTTGTAAAGTCAAATATCTCAATTATTACTTGAGATATTCAATTGAAACTTACAATACTTATTTATAGTAACAAGGTACATAAGATTGACAAGTTGGATAACTCTGCCTACAATATTGACAGAATTATGCCCCTTTTTAACTTAGAAAATTTTGGTTAAAGTTTTTTGTAAAGTCAAATATCTCAATTATTGCTTGAGATATTCAATTGAAACTTACAATACTTATTTATAGTAACAAGGTACATCAGATTGACAAGTTGGATAACTCTGCCTACAATATTGACAGAATTATGCCCCTTTTTAACTTAAAAAATTTTGGTTAAAGTTTTTTGTAAAGTCAAATATCTCAATTATTGCTTGAGATATTCAATTGAAACTTACAATACTTATTTATAGTAACAAGGTACATCAGATTGACAAGTTGGATAACTCTGCCTACAATATTGACAGAATTATGCCCCTTTTTAACTTAGAAATTTTGGTTAAAGTTTTTTGTAAAGTTAAATATCTCTATTATTGCTTGAGATATTCAATTGAAACTTACAATACTTATTTATAGTAACAAGGTACATCAGATTGACAAGTTGGATAACTCTGTCTACAATATTGACAAAATTATGCCCCTTTGGAACTTAGAATTTTGGTTAAAGTTTTTTTGTAAAGTCAAATATCTCAATTATTGCTTGAGATATTAAATTGAAATTTAAAACACTTTTTTTTAGTAACAATGTTCATCAGTTTGCAAAATTGCATTACTCTGCCTGCAATATTTGCAGAATTATTTGCCCCTTTGAAACTTAGAAATTTGGTTAAAGGTTAAAGGTTTTCAAAGATATTTACTTGAAACTTTACACATGCACTTAGGTTCATAATTGAAATGTCATAATTGTATGTCACTGACCAAGTTCCATAACTCTATCTTGCATTAAGGCTGATTCATATCCCCTTTTCTACTTAGTCTCTTGGTTAATGTTTACATGCAAGTTTTACATATCTCAATAACTTTTAAAGATATTTATTTAAAACTTTACATATGATTTAGGGTCATAATTGTAGGTCACTGACAAAGATCCATAATTCTGTCTTGCATTTAGGCGGATTTTTCTCCCCTTCTTTCAACTTAGAAATTCATGGTAAAGTTTTGCTTGTAAGCTGTTATATCAACAACTTCTGAAGGGTTTGTGCCTTTTTTGGGACAATTTTATGCATTCATGATAATAAAGCAGTGATTTACTTGATAAAACATCTTAATAACAAGCCTTTGTACCTTTTCTGTCAAATTTATGTATTCATAGGTAATTAATATTATTATACTCAATAAAACACCCTTGTGACATTTCCTTCCGAATAGTCAAGCCAATATTGTATAATTAGACCCTCTCTAAGGCCTATAACATGAATTTATAAAAAAAAATTAGCCCTTTTGTGAACTTAAAAAATTTAACAGTATCAAAGCTCTTTTACTATCAAGCACTTAGAATAGTCGAGCGTGATGTCCTACCGACAGCTCTTGTTAGTTATTGCCCTTTGTTAATTTTCATATTTCATTTTTGTCCTGGCCATTTCTCCTAAACTATATTGTTCACAAGGCGACACATCCAACTCGTGGAGTTCTAGTTTCATCTAGATGTATAACATGTCGTAACATCTATAACGCTTTTACTCAAACTGTAATGGCTTTACATTCTTGATTTATGTTTTTCTTTTAAAAATTTTCTGTTGCTTTTAAATATAATTAGTATTATTTGACAATATATTATGTTTACATTGTTAAATTGTTTTAGAAAAATAGTAATGCCGATATTCATTAAACAGTATGTTAAAATCGTTGTTGTTATATGGATTGGCAGTGGGTGGTAGTAATGAGGTAATTTTGCGATTAGAGCTATATATGTAAATATGAACCTCATTATATGGCAGTGTTGGACCTTTAGACCCCAACTTGAGCATTATCACAGGGCTGCAGTGTATTTTGTAATGTTTTTAAATTTTAATCAAGGTAAAATTTCATTTTATATTAAACGTAAATGCAGTTATCATGTCTAGCTAGCTTACAGGCAACTTATTTTATTTGCATCAAATATTTAATATACTGTAAAATTCCTATTAAACGGCCCGGGGGGCTAAACATTTTCCAAAAAGGGGGGCTATTTTTACAACATGTTTTTTCCTAAATCCAAAAATCATTGAAAATACATTTAGTGTTAACAAGTGTTGGTAATAACATTAAAATGTGTTTAGATTTTAAAGTTCGTGTGATACATTTTTGTGTTTACTATGAAATAAAATGGATTCTGAAGGATCTGAATAAGATTATGGATTTATTCAAGAGTTCACTACTGATGAGCAGATATTTTTCCATATCAAATAGCCTGGGGGGCTTTTATTAGGGGAGGGGCGTTTATTAGGAATTTTACAGTAATTATGTTGAATTTAAAAAAAAAGAAGAAAAAAAGCAACAGCATAATAGGCCTTTATAACATGCCTATCAGATACTGACTTTAAGTGATAAATATGATATAAAAATATTCCTGGGAATTTTGTGACGTTTGTAGCAAGTAGATTTTATGCGAAGAAGGATTAGGTATTTGCTTAAATCTCAACACACAAAATGTCTAAAAACTACTGAAATTTGGTTTTTGCAAACTTTTTATACATGACAAAATATCAAATAATATACTAGTATGGTAGGTTATCATTTTTGCTCACTTGATCAGAAGTGTTAAGGGTCATGTAATATACAATGTATATATCCTCAGCATTTAGGGTGCCAATTGTTTTAAGTTTTCGGATTTCTGTAAAAAAAAAATTAAAATAAGATTTTTGCCTGTTACGCATCTCTTCTACTACTTTATGTCTATTATACAATTATGATGCTTGTACGTTTACATGCGGAATCGTTTGCGGTTTTTTTTTTATGTGAAAGAAAGGAATATAAGCCCAAATTTCAATACTTGTGTTGCTTTGAGGAGCTGGTTAGTATGTCGACTTTAGTGTGTTCCCCTTGTGTGTCATATAATTAGCATGGTCTTCATCTCTTATTAACCAGGTTTTCAATTTTGAAAATCCTGGTTATTAGATTGGGGTATGGCGGGCGGATGGGCGGATGGGCGGCTGGGCGGATGGGCGGGCGTCAAACGAAATTGTGTCCGCTCTGTAACTCTTCAACCCTTTGAAGAATTTTGATGAAACTTCAGACAAATGTTTACCACATCAAGATGACGTGCAGAACGCATGTTCCGCATGGCTGGCTCCAAGGTCAAGGTCACAGTGACATTAACATTGAAAATCCTGTCCGCTCTGTAACTCTTCAACCCTTTGAAGAATTTTGATGAAACTTCAGACAAATGTTTACCACATCAAGATGACGTGCAGAACGCATGTTCCGCCATGGCTGGCTCCAAGGTCAAGGTCACAGTGACATTAACATTGAAAATCCTGTTTACATGATTTTAACTTCGGGCGTCAAACGAAATTGTGTCCGCTCTGTAACTCTTCAACCCTTTGAAGAATTTTGATGAAACTTCAGACAAATGTTTACCACATCAAGATGACGTGCAGAACGCATGTTCCGCATGGCTGGCTCCAAGGTCAAGGTCACAGTGACATTAACATTGAAAATCCTGTCCGCTCTGTAACTCTTCAACCCTTTGAAGAATTTTGATGAAACTTCAGACAAATGTTTACCACATCAAGATGACGTGCAGAACGCATGTTCCGCATGGCTGGCTCCAAGGTCAAGGTCACAGTGACATTAACATTGAAAATCCTGTTTACATGATTTTAACTTTGGGCGTCAAACGAAATTGTGTCCGCTCTGTAACTCTTCAACCCTTTGAAGAATTTTGATGAAACTTCAGACAAATGTTTACCACATCAAGATGACGTGCAGAACGCATGTTCCGCATGGCTGGCTCCAAGGTCAAGGTCACAGTGACATTAACATTGAAAATCCTGTCCGCTCTGTAACTCTTCAACCCTTTGAAGAATTTTGATGAAACTTCAGACAAATGTTTACCACATCAAGATGACGTGCAGAACGCATGTTCCGCATGGCTGGCTCCAAGGTCAAGGTCACAGTGACATTAACATTGAAAATCCTGTTTACATGATTTTAACTTCGGGCGTCAAACGAAATTGTGTCCGCTCTGTAACTCTTCAACCCTTTGAAGAATTTTGATGAAACTTCAGACAAATGTTTACCACATCAAGATGACGTGCAGAACGCATGTTCCGCATGGCTGGCTCCAAGGTCAAGGTCACAGTGACATTAACATTGAAAATCCTGTCCGCTCTGTAACTCTTCAACCCTTTGAAGAATTTTGATGAAACTTCAGACAAATGTTTACCACATCAAGATGACGTGCAGAACGCATGTTCCGCATGGCTGGCTCCAAGGTCAAGGTCACAGTGACATTAACATTGAAAATCCTGTTTACATGATTTTAACTTGATTTGGCAGTCAAAGGTCATATCATCTTTGGAGGTAATTTAAAAAAGATATGATATATTATTTCATGTCTACTTTGTAACTTGTTTTTCATTATACAGAATTATCAATATAATTATAGTGAACAAATTCTTCTGTGCTGAACTCGTCCTACATTTCTCAACGGATTTTGTTCAAACTTTTACAGAAGCTTTGTCATCAAGCACCATGGCACATATTGTCGGGGTTTTGTGATTGGATAGTTTTTGACCTAATTATGGCCCTTTGTTTTTTTCCTTATACATAATATTATAGTGAACACTTCTTCAGTGGCAATTCCTCCTAGATTATTCATGTTTTACATTGCACATAGTTACATTGTTTGTTGCTTGTATTTGTATTTCAAATACAACATATTTATCTACAATGGTGATAATTGAAAACCTGGTTTCATGGCATTGCCATGTTTCTTGTCTGTTAAAAGTCTGAGGGAAGTAATTTTGCTTAGTGCGTAAATGCGATTTTATTTTTCCATTGAAGATCAAGTGATGCAGGTGTCAACACATGCTTTGGTTAGTATTCCCAGAATGTATTTTAAAAAAAGGGAATTTTCCCTTACTTTAATCTGATGTTAAACTGAAATTGAATGTTAAAAACTTTGGCCTTTACTTAATGTGTAATATACAACATATCACCTGGTAAGGTTTATGTGTCATTTTATAAATATTACATCCAGCTGAGGGTTATAGAAAGAAATGTTTTACCTACAATGATCTGCAGTGTCCAATTTTTGTCCGGAGCATATCTCCTACACTAATGGATCAGTTAAAATACACCAAAACAACACATAAAATATATGTTTATGATTATTATAATAATATTATTATCATAATATTTATGATTATTAAGTTATTTAACCTGTTACGATATGTGTCCTACATTATGACATGTTTCGTCTTAAGTAATAACGACTAACCATTAAAGTTATTTTATTCCTACACCAATGGAGGAATATTCATGAAATTCATAGAAATGTTCACCACTATCAGAAGCTGTGTCGTGCATATGAACCAGGCCTTTAGGTCAAAGGTCAAGGTCACACTTAGAGGTCATTGAAAAATGCTTGTCCGGAGCAAAACTTCTACATGCATAGAGGGATTTAAATATAACGTGGCACAAATGTTCACTATTGTGAGGCAGAGTGTCGCGTACAAAATTAAGGTCCCGGCGGCCAAGGTCAAGGTCACACATAGGGTTCAAAATTCAGATAAAAATATTAAAATGTGTATTGGGACCATTTAGTCATCATTTATTGAGGGATTGAAACACAAATGGTCATTTTCATGACTACTGGTGTGAAACATGTAATTTGGATTAATATATGCAAGGTCAAGGTCATTAAAGATGATTCCCAAGGTCACTAAAAATGATAAAATATAGAGATTTTGTCCAGAGCATATCTTCTACACATATGGAGAGATTGTAATGAAACTTCATACAAATGTTCACCACTATGAGAAGCTGTGTTCCGTGCATGAATCAGGTCTCTAGGTTAAAGGTCAAGGTCACACTTAGAGGTCATTGAAAAAGGCTTGTCCAGAGCAAAAGTTCCACACGCATAGAAGGATTACAATATACAGTATAAGTGGTTTTTTCTGCGGTGACTTTATTTCTGTGTATTCTGTGGTCAATATCAGCACCGCAGAAATAAAAACCACAGTATATTTCTCCATGTTTTGTTTTTTAACCTGTTAAGATATGTGTCCTACATTATGACATGTTTCGTCTTAAGTAATAACGACTAACCAATTATAACGGTTAGCGGGTTTTATAAAATTGCTGTCGGCTAAGTATGTATCTGTGTTTGTAAGGATGTGCTTATTGTTAATTATGCCAATTTGTGAATAAATATTTTTAAATTACATGAATAAAGTGTTTGCCAGGACGCTGAAAAATTGTTTTTTTTACCACTAAATCATTCAAACCATTTTAACCCTTATACTGCTAAATAATCGACGTATTCTTTTATTGTTATCTGAATTATGTTAAATTTATATCAATTTTCTTAAATTTATGATACTACCGGGGTATATTTTTCACATGTTATGTCACGCTCATCAAAAGATGCATACTTTTCTATTGTTGCGCATTATTTTTTGTTTCTACGCAAACAATTAATTTGTTTGTAATTACTGCACAGTTTTGCGGTGATGACGTTAAACAAAAGCAAATATGTACATGCAAACAAAATAGGCAGAATAATGTGACTTAGACTGTGATAAGATGAGCCTCAGAATTTTAAACATGTTTTGTTCAACAAATGTGTTGCAGAAAAAAAGTCCGCAGAAATAAGAAACATGCCAAAATTTGGAAAAAAAACGCAGAATTTGGAGCCCGCAGAAAAAAACACTTATATGGTAACTTGGCACAAATGTTCACTATTGTGAGGTAGAGTGTTGCACGCAAAATTAAGGTCTCTGCAGCTATTAGGTCAAGGTCACACAAAGGGGTCAAAGTTCAGATAAAAAAATCACTAGAAATGATAGTATATCCAGATATTGCCTTGAGCATATTTCCTATATGCATATCTGTAATGGCCACATCTCTGTCAAAAGCTTCTGTGATGGGCGTATATTGCATCAATGTTGCCCTTGTTTAAGAAAATAATATTGAAATTATTTTACTCAGATACTAGAATGCCTACAGCTTAATTGTTTAGCATTTTCTAGCAATGGATTTCAGGTGACCAATCCAGAGCCACGACACCCCTCTTGCTTATGTTGAGTCACTGTAAAATTGGATTGGGTGATTTGTTTATTTATTCAGTTGTTTTTTACAGATAGAGCGCATTCAGAACAAGACCTTATGGTCACAGTATGCAGCAAAGAAAAAACAACTAGAGGATCAGAATCCACCTAATACAACAAATGAGAGATTGTTATGGCATGGTACTGCTGTTGAAGCTGTTGATAAAATCAATGCTCATGGATTTAACAGGAGTTATTGTGGCAAAAATGGTGTGTACCTTATCAATCATATTATCATTTTTCAACTGTGTTTTATTCCCTCTTTAACTCACTTGAGCATAAAGTGTGATTGCATGATCTGTATACAACATTTAGTAAAAGTGTTTGTTTATGATGGTAATTAGCAGTATAACTTGTATTATGATATCCAGCAGTATCTAGCCCTACTTTTGGTGGCCCTCTACAGAAGTTATATAAACAGTTCCTGTCTGATACACAAGTAGGTCAGAGGTTAAAAAATAGACTTAAGAAATAAATACTTTGAGAATCTCCTTACCAGGGCTTAGGTTTTTATTATAGCTTGTGGTATTCTACAAAAAATTGCATAGATCACGCCCCTTAAGGGTCAAGATTGATTGGCAAAGCCTTGGGATTCATTTAATTTACATTGACTTTCTTCTTTTGTCTCTTTCTGCCAAGAACTCATATTTATATGGTTGTAGTTTTGCCTTGTAGGCCTCTCAAAAGTGATACCAATTATGCTCCAGTGCTCAAATTTGTGGGATGGGATGACTTGTGTAGTAAATAATCAAGTGCTCAGGGTTTAGGTATTTGGCATGAAGAGTTGCTTGTTTGACCTGTACAATAGTTATTTAAATCATGTCCAGTTGGTCAGTTTATACAGACTTGTAAAGTCTTTATGAATTCTAACCTAAACTACAATGCCAAGAGCATAGATATTTGGCATATAGTATCACCTTGTAATCTCTTACAAAGGTTATATAATTCATGTCCTTATTGTCAAAATTGTCAGCCCCAGACTTTCTTAGTTATATAGATATGTATATAGTGTTACACTACAATGTCCAAGGATTGCATATTAGACATGCAGCATTGCCTTCTTGAACCCTTCATATCTTTAATGAATTATGCAGCCAGGGTAAAAAAGACACACACAATATGGCCTAATTACTTACTTTTTATATAAAAATTGAAGATTTGTGACCTTTGTTAGCATTGTATCAGTGACCAACAACTTATGTGCTGGAATGTCTTTGAACTTTAATCCAAATATGTTGTAGTCTGGATATCTTATTGTTGACATTATAAGGTCCAATAAAAATCCTTAACAGGTTTTAAGTATTATCCATTCAAGTATTATCCATTCATACATATATAAGTTAACGCATCTGGAATTTAAATTTTTTGTAGCTTTAAAATAAAATGTTTACTTCGGAAGAACTGGAAAATTTGCTCATGGTGAAATTAATAAAATTCATATTGTTAATGAAGCAATGAAGTTGTATGCCATTTTGCTGATAATTTTCAAACATTTTTAATTTCAAATTTTAAGTTAAATTCATATGAACTCAAAATAGAGAAAATAAGAATCTCTAAAGAAAGCCCAACACGGCATAATTGAAAATGTTGCAGGCTCGGTTTGATTGAGCCTGTTCATGGACGGTACTGTTAAGTGCAAACTACCGTCCACGCCCCCTAGCACCGGCTTAAGCAGAATTCAACATTTACTATGAACAGGTACAATTTCGAATTTTGAAACATCTGCAGATGTATTCATATGGTGGTTATCATGGAACCTTCAATCTGACACGTAAGTGCCATTCCATGAAAAGCGGCATATCGTCCCCAAGTTAAAATGTCAAAAGTCTGTGGCTGAGTAGTTAAGGTCATTGGCTTCAAACCACTTACCCCTTACCACTATGGGTTTGAATCGTGCAAGGGACTTTGGAATCTTTCATGTTGAGAAGCTATCAAACTAGCTTATAGAATGTCGGTGGTTTTACTGAAGTTCTTTTTTGTTGGTGAGATGTAACATCCAATAAAAAGAAAATGGAAAAAGTGATATCAAAAATTATATTGAAATTCTGTCTCTCTTCTATTTTCAGCAACCGTCTTTGGGGATGGTGTTTACTTTGCTGTCAATGCAAGTTATTCATGTAGTGATACTTATTCCCGGCCTGCAAGTGGTGTAAAGAGGATGTATTATTGCCGTGTACTTACTGGAGAATTTACCCAGGGTACCAGAGGAATGCGTGTAGCACCTACAAAGGGTGGTACTGGTAGCACTGCTATATTCGACTCTGTTGTGGACAGACAAGCTACCCCAGGGATGTTTATTATTTTCCATGACACACAAGCCTATCCGGAATATCTTATATCTTTTAAGCCAAAGTAAATAACTGTTATTTATGACATTACAGTGATATATTTCAATCAATATTGAACAGTTAGTTATATGTGTCGTACTAGTTATATGTGTCATACTAGTGTCAGTGCCTTCGATAAATAGAATTGATAAGACTGTTATTTAATATTTTACTTTTCCGTATGTTCCTTGAATAAAAATGTTGATACTGTTGAATGTTACATTTTTGTGTGAGTTTCTTTATCATTACAAATCAATATGTGTATATTGATGTGACATTTTATTATTAAGTTAGTTATTAATTTAAGTTATATCAGTGCTCCTTGCCAATTTAATTGTTATTGCTTTTTATCAATACAAATTGATATACAATTCTATAATTATGACATTTAAGTGTATTAAGGACCTTCTTTAATATCATACAACTTAAAATTCTGCTATATATATTACATCAGCTTAAATTCTGTAATCTATATGAATTGTTACATGATAATATATGTAATTATGTTGAATATTTTTTACAGATTTCCTTCATATATACTGTATATGTAACGTTTATTTTCTTCTTAATTGCAAATTGGTTCCCTACTTGTTTCAGTGGTAAAGGTCTCCGACTTGAAATCATTTGCCCTCACTGCGGTGGTTTAAAATTCCACCCGGGATTCTTTTTTTGTGAGGAAGATAACCAGCCAGGATATTGTGGTGTGGTGGTTTTATTTGGCTGCCCTTTAATGCCTGTAATAATTAAGGGTGGGACATCTCCATCATAAAAGCTAGAAATTCTCTCACTACATTTAAATTGTTCAGTGTTACATAAACTTTAAAGCCAAAGAAACAATGTAAATTGCAGTCAAACTTGCTATATGTGACATTAATGTTATTTCCTTCCCAAATATGAATTGTTTTATTGTTATTTCAGCTAATGAGTGCATTTTTTTTAGTTATAAAGATAGGTAATGTAAAGAGAATTGAAAGGAACATAAGGTTATCTGATTTGAATGAAAGGGCTGAAGTCTATTTGATGTTCATTCTCTTTTATATATAGCCCATTGAACAAAACACTTTCCATGTCATCATGATATGTAAACCCTGGAAAAATGTAACCAATATGCTAGCATGTAAACAGTAAACATGTAAACATGAAAACTTATGAAATACCAAAATTGATTCTTAGTAGTAAAAACTTATATTTTTTGCTAAATTTCATTTGATTTCAGATACATGTAATAAACATGAAAATTTCAATAAAACATGGTTTGTAGACTCATAAGGTTGCTTGCTTCCTTTTTAGCTCGACTATTCGAAGAATATGAGAGCTATTGTAGTCGACGTCAGCGTTCGCGTCTGTGTCTGCGTTGGTTAAATTTTTTTGTAAATTCAAATATCTCAATTATTGCTTGAGATACTCAATTGAAACTTACAATACTTATTTATAGTAACAATGTACATCAGATTGACAAGTTAGATAACTCTGCCTACAATATTGACAGAATTATGCCCCTTTTTAACTTAGAAATTTTGGTTAAAGTTTTTTTGTTAAGTCAAATATCTCAATTATTGCTTGAGATATTCAATTGAAACTTACAATACTTATTTATAGTAACAATGTTCATCAGATTGACAAGTTGGATAACTCTGCCTACAATATTGACAGAATTATGCCCCTTTTTAACTTAGAAATCTTGGTTAAAGTTTTTTTGTAAAGTCAAATACATGTATCTCAATCAAGGCTACAGATAACATTTTGTGCATATTGGGTAATTACCCTTTGTTTTGTGATCTATTTGGTTTTTTCTATTTTCTTAGAGTTATTTCTGTATTTTTTACCCTACCCCTTCTAACCAATTTGAGTTATAAAGCACGAGTTCATGTATTTTACCCAAAATTTCTGACCTTCATTGTAGACTGTTGTAGGTTTTGTATTGTTATAAAAAAGCTACTTACTACTTTGCTTTATGGTTTATTGGCTTAGGAGATTTCCAAGTTGCCTGATATAATTTAAAGGTTAAAACAGTCTGAAACAGTATGATCTGCCTGATGTACGCGTTGAGTAATAATTTACGTCATTACGCACCAGTTCAAATGTAGTTTGCATAAGTAAGAATTCATTTACTTTTTCTTACCCTTAGTTATTGTTTCTTTTGGGTTTTTAGACATTTTAATTGGGTAATAACGCAAATATGCATGTTATCTGCAGCCCTGTCTCAATTATTGCTTGAGATATTCAATTGAAATTTACAATACTTTTTTATAGTAACAATGTACATCAGTTTGCAAAATTGCATAACTCTGCCTGCAATATTTGCAGAATTATCTGCCCCTTTTTAACTTAGAAATTTTGGTTAAAGGTCTTCAAAGATATTTACTTGAAACTTTACACATGTACTTACGGTCATTCATAATTGGAGAGTCATAATTGTATGTCACTGACCAAGTTCCATAACTCTACTCGCATTTAGGCTGATTCATCTCCCCTTTTCTACTTAGTCTCTTGGTTAATGTTTACATGCAAGTTTTACATATCTCAATAACTATTAAAGATACTTATTTAAAACTTCACATAATATTATGCATTTAGAATCATAATTGTAGGTCACTGACCAAGATCCATAATTCTATCTTGCATTTAGGCTGATTTTTCTCCCCTTTTATAACTTAGAAATTCATGGTAAAGTTTTTCTTGTAAGCTGTTATCTCCATAACTACTAAAGAGTTTGTGCCTTTTTTTTGGGACATTTTTATGCATTCATAATAATAAAGCAGTGATTTACTTGATAAAACATCTTAATAACAATCCTTTGTACCTTTTCGGTCAACTTTATGTATTCATAGGTAATTAGCATTATTATACTCAATAAAACACCCTTGTGACAATTTTTGAATAGTCGAGCCAATACTGTCTTCCGTCAGCTCTTGTTTTTTTTTTGGTCTAAATAGACAATGCAGTTACTTGAGAGCAAACTTTTATTACCTGCACACTTCAGTTAATGCACTGTACTCCTATGTGTATACAATTTTATCATGCACAAATTTTAAATAAAATGGTCATCCAGTTATGATAAAAAAAAGTTACAGACTTAAAGGAACTCCACCAAAGTCTTAAAATATAGCCTGATATCATAAAAATTCGAAATTCTGTCATAAATCAACCTTTGCACTTAATATAGAAAACTTTGCAATAGATGATAATATAAAAATATACTTGGTATACTTGTAAATCAACTGTTTTTGCAATTTTTCCAGTGGATTTGAGTGAAAAGCATTACAATGCTTTTCAATTTGGGGTAAATTTGCGCAATGAAACTTATTATTATTTAATTATCTTTGGAAATTTTGGAGGTCAAGAGAAAATATCAGTCTTGAAAAAAATATATTGATCCCTTCATGCCAGAAACCTCAGTGGAGTCCCTATTAAAAATGCCATTCAGCACTGTTGAATTTAAGCTGGCAAAAGTCATTGAATGCATTTAATTCAGTGGCTTTCTTAGAAGCCCATGATAGGTTTGGGATTCTCGCTAAATTATCTCTTCTGTCTGTACTGGTTGGGGACCACCAAAACCGGACAACCACCAAACCCGGACGGCCCCGATAATGCTTGATTTAGTTTTTTCTTTGTTCAGTGGTTGTCAGTCACTATTTTATCAACAATAAGTGCATGTTTCTTTTAAAATTAAGTAAATAAAATTATTTCAACCTCCGTCAATGGTAATATTTTAATGTCTACTTCAAGAATATTGACGTTGAAATTTGGGGGTCAAGAAAACAATGCCTGACCTCATATACCAGCTATAATCATTTGCAGAGTGAATAATAGAATATCCAAAACTTCAGGATTTGTTGCTGAAATATTGTGTATCATGTTAAAAATAAAAAATAAAAACACCCAAGCTTTTATCTGAAATAAATCATGTCATGTACATATCTGTCCGGACACATGGTACTGTAGTGTAGACAATTTAGGTAATTTTGATTCCCTGTTTGTCGAGCCTCAGATTAAGTGTCAATACAATCAGAAATAAACAAACTAGTTTGTTAGTTAGGAGAAGAACCTAGCTGAACTGTGTCAAATTTTTTGGTCTCTTGGTTAAAAATGTTGCAAAAGTGTCCGGTTGATGGTCTCCGACCAGTAATGTTACAATTATTAATTGCATTATACATTGCAATATTTATAGTTATGATTAAATTACCCTTTTGGTCTGCCTCTGCCAGTAAAAGTTGATAAGTATTTTATATCCTTTAAAGTTATGTTGTGACTTAATTATAATTGAATTATAATCAACTTACTACTTGTCTATGCATTATTGCAAAAAAGACTCTACTAGGCTTCTTAAATATTTGAATCTAATGTTGATATGCAATATATGTATAGATACATGTATATTTGTTGTTACAAATAAAGATAGTGTATTTATTTTATATACAGAATTATGATAAATTTATTTTGTTGTTATTTCATAGAAGCTAAAATTGATAATGTAACTTTGTTCTGTAAGTGATGCTTGAAAGTTTGATAATACTATTAATTTAATCTATTTTATATCAGTGCTCTTTGTGAATTGTATTAAGTATTAAGCTTTAAGGATCAAAAAATGTCTCAGTGATTTTTGTATATCATAGTTTAGCAAATAAAACTGGCACTAAATTCAGCAGTTTATAGTGATCGACAGAGAAAACTGTCATAGATGTGATGTATGATATAATATTAATAAACATTATGATTTGATTTGTTTGTTTGTGTTATATGTTTAAAGCATGTGAATCTGAACATGATGATATGACATTCTTGTTCGTGGTTATATGTTTAAAGTATGTGAATCAGAATTGATTTAATATCAGCTGAGGCTATTTTAAGACAGCATTTAGGCAAAGAAACAGATGCATTATTATGTGTCAGTGGCGATGATGTGTATTGAAGAAATATAAATTTAGAAGTTAGTTCATTAATAAAACACCAGAGCGCTTTAAATCAGTTCACCTAAGGACACTTGAAAATATCTTTCTTCATTATTATTATTATCATCAAGATTGATGAAAGAGTCTAATGATCAGCTTATCCAGATATGTAAGGGCTTTATTTAAGACTCTATGAAACGTAACCAAGGTCTGTAGGGTAGCAAGATTGTGTTTCATTATACATGTTATATGTCTACAGAGAAAACAATTATTGGGCAACTTTGTTATCTTCTTGTAAACTGTTATGAGTGATATAATGGCTCTCTATGACTTGTAATTAAAGCCATGATATAAGCAGTTATGGCCCTTTATGGCTTGTAATTAAAGCCATGATATAAGCAGTTACAGCCCTTTATGGCTTGTAATTAAAGCCATGATATAAGCAGTTATAGCCCTTTATGGCTTGTAATTTAAAAGCCATGATATTAGCAGTTATGGCCCTTTATGGCTTGTAATTAAAGCCATGATATTAGCAGTTATGGCCCTTTATGGCTTGTAATTAAAGCCATGATATTAGCAATTATAGCCCTTTATGGGTTGTAATTAAAGCCATGATATAAGCAGTTATAGCCCTTAATGGCTTGTAATTAAATCCATGATATTAGCAGTTATGGCCCTTTATGGCTTGTTATGAAAGCTGTGATATTAGCAGTTATAGCCCTTTATGGCTTGTAATTATAGCCGTGATATTGGCAGTTATAGCCCTTTATGATGGCTTGTAATTAAAGCCATGATATAAGCAGTTATAGCCCTTTATGGCTTGTAATTAAAGCCGTGATAATAACAGTTACAGCCCTTTATGGCTTGTAATTAAAGCCGTGATAATAGCAGTTATAGCCCTTTATGGCTTGTAATTAAAGCCATGATATTAGCAGTTATGGCCCTTTATGGATTGTAATTAAAGCTCTGATATTAGCAGTTATAGCCCTTTATGGCTTGTAATTACAAGCCGTGATAAAAGCAGTTATGGCCTTTATGGCTTGGTAATTAAAGCCATAATATTAGCAGTTATGGCCCTTTATGGCTTGTAATTACAGCCGTGATTATAGGCAGTTATAGCCCTTCTATGGCTTTTAATTAAAGCCATGATATTAGCAGTTATAGCCCTTTAAGGCTTGCTAATACAGCCGTTGATAATAGCAGTTATAGCCTTTTATGGCTTGTAATTAAAGCCATGATATTTAGCAGTAATGACCCTCTATGGCTTGTAATTAAAGCCATGATAGTAGCAGTTATAGCCCTTTATGGCTTGTAATTAAAGCCGTGATAATAGCAGTTATAGCCCTTTATGGCTTTTAATTAAAGCCATGATATTAGCAGTTATGGCCCTTTATGGCTTGTAATTAAAGCCGTGATATTAGCAATTAAAGCCATGATATTAGCAGTTATGGCCCTTTATGGCTTGTTATTAAAGCCGTGATATTAGAGAGCAGTGTAATAACTCTTTACAACAATGAAGCTTGCCACATCTGATGTTTCAGGGTGGGCTTTTTGAGACAAAAGAAATTACTTGTCAAATACAATATTATATTATGTTTTAATTGGAAACATCTTTCAGGCAATCAGAGATATAGATCGATGTCTCTGAGGCAATACAATGGTTATTTATATTCAATGAAAAAGCATATAATTTCCTATCGTGAACCCATGAGTATATATTGAGACTTAAAACATTAACATTGCCTGAGCTTGTCTCCACAAAATAAATGGTCTTCATAGGTAATGAGGCCATAATGGTTGGAATGTTCCAATTAATTGTCTTATTCTTAAATCAACTTGTAAGAAATCAAATGTTGACATTACTTCAAAGTTGTTCTGAAGCAATTGTATTAATCAAGCAAATCGTATTTGCATTGCCTTATAATTTGAATGATGTATGGCATTTTCATTCATTCATTTGTTTGACATAAAAAGAACATCTGCATAGCTTAAAAGATGTAATTAAAAAAATCAAAGACATTGTATAATGTTTCTTTAATTTGTGATGACATTTTGATTTTACAGATTGAGCGTATTCAGAACAGGACATTATGGTCACAGTACGAGGCAAAGAAAAAACAACTGGAAGATCAGAATCCACCTAATACAACAAATGAGAGATTGTTATGGCATGGTACAGCAGCGGAAACAGTTGACAATATCAACGCTCATGGATTTAACAGGAGTTATTGTGGTAAAAATGGTATGTTTAAGTATACCTAATTGTTTATTTAATTGTTTTATTAGATTTTTAAGTAACAATTACCCTCAACAAAAGGTTATGCAGCATCTTTCCAGCTTAATCATTGGAGGAAAACCTCAGGTGCCCCTTTGTGCATTTTTAGCTTGACTATTCGATAAGACTGAGAAAAGCTATTGTCACCTGTCGCCGGCGTAACCACTTATGTTAATGTTTTTGTAATACCTCAAATATGTTCAAAGTCCATTGACATATGGCTTTGAAACTTTGCACACTTGTTCACCTTCATGACCCCAACCTGTATACAAGAGGGGGTAACTGTATTAAGCATTTTGACAGAATTATGCCCCTTTTTCAACAGAATTTACGTTAAAGTTTTTGGAATACCTCAAATATTTTCAAAGTCCATAGACATATGGCTTTGAAACTTTGCACACTTTTTCACCATTATGACCCAAACATGTAGACCGGTGGAGGTAACTGTATTAAGCATTTTGACAGAATTATGCCCCTTTTTGGACATAATTTACGTTAAAGTTTTTGTAATACCTCAAATATTTTCAAAGTCCATTGACATATGGCTTTGAAACTTTGCACACTTGTTCACCATTATGACCCCAACATGTAGACAGGAGGGGGTAACTGTATCAAGCATTCTGACAGAATTATGCCCCTTTTCGACTTCGGTTTCCACACAGTGGCTGTTGACTCACCTTTTTTTTTAGAAACTTGAGCGCAATTTTTAACGAAGCAATAAATACGCACGGACAACGAAAAAGGGGTTATGTTAAAGTTTTTGTAACATCTCAAATATTTTCAAAGTCCATTGACATATGACTTTGAAACTTTGCACATTTGTTCACCATCCTAATGTTGACCCCAACCTGTAGACAGGTGGTGGTAACTCTATGAAGCATTTGGCAGAATAATGCCCCTTTTTTACCTTTTTTAACTTAGAATTTACATTTAAGTTTGCATACTACCTCAGATATTTTCATATTCTATTGACATCAGGCTTTAAAACAAGTTAAAATTTTATACTCTTCTTTGAGAGCATAATAGGACTCTCTCATTGGGCCTATATCTGTAACATGGATTTAAAGGAAAAAAAATTCCCTTTTGTTAACTTAGAAAATTTTGCATTATAAGGGTTTTTTACTATCAAGCACTAAGGATAGTCTAGCGTTGCTGTCCTACCAACAGCTCTTGTTAAGCTTAACTGTGACTCCTGAGTAGAGACAACTGACCTTTGAAGTCAGAAAACGTAAACACTAGAAGTATACAGTTGTATATTATCATATAAAACTTTAGAGCACATACCATATCTAATAAGAAAAAGAAGAACTTTTATATCACAAGTTAAACTTTGATGTTAGATAAACTACTATTGGATTATATACAAAGTATATTAATGCTGCCATTTTTAGCTCGACTATTCGATAAGAATAAGTAGAGCTATTGCAGTCACCCAAGCGTCGGCGTCGGCGTAACCACTTATGTTAAAGTTTTTGTAATAGTTCAAATATTTTCAAAGTCCATTGACATATGGCTTTGAAACTTTGCACACTTGTTCACCATCATGACCCCAACCTGTAGACAGGAGAAGGTAACTCTATCAAGCATTTTGACAGAATTATGCCCCTTTTTCGACTTAGAATTTACGTTAAAGTTTTTGTAATAGTTCAAATATTTCAAAGTCCATAGACATATGGCTTTGAAACTTTGCCACACTTGTTCACCATCATGACCCTAACCTGTAGACAGGAGGAGGTAACTCTATCAAGCATTTTGACAGAATTATGCCCTTTTTCGACTTAGAATTTACTGTTAAAGTTTTTGTAATAGTTCAAATATTTTCAAAGTCCATTGACATATGGCTTTGAAACTTTTGCACACTTGTTCAACATCATGACCCCAACCTGTAAACAGGAGGAGGTAACTCTATCAAGCATTTTGACAGAATTATGCCCCTTTTTCGACTTAGAATTTACGTTAAAGTTTTTGTAATAGTTCAAATATTTTCAAAGTCCATTGACATATGGCTTTGAAACTTTGCACACTTGTTCACATCATGACCCCAACCTGTAGACAGGAGAAGGTAACTCTATCAAGCATTTTGACAGAATTATGCCCTTTTCCGACTTAGAATTTACGTTAAAGTTTTTGTAATAGTTCAAATATTTTCAAAGTCCATAGACATATGGCTTTGAAACTTTGCACACTTGTTCACCATCATGACCCTAACCTGTAGACAGGAGGAGGTAACTCTATCAAGCATTTTGACAGAATTATGCCCCTTTTTCGACTTAGAATTTACGTTAAAGTTTTTGTAATAGTTCAAATATTTTCAAAGTCCATTGACATATGGCTTTGAAACTTTGCACACTTGTTCAACATCATGACCCCAACCTGTAAACAGGAGGAGGTAACTGTATCAAGAATTTTTTTTACTATCAAGCACTAAGAATAGTCGAGCGTTGCTGTCCTACTGACAGCTCTTGTTAACATGACAGTCATAGTCAGACTGTTACCTTAGAGATTAAATTGTTTTGTTTTAAACTTCTGTTGAAAACTTTCAATAGAGCTTAGTG